GTCTGGAGACGTTATATTCAATCAAGGTTTCTGTGTTGACAGAAAAAAGGGGGACAAATATGAACCGTTCGTATCTCCGTTATAGTTTGTTTTGAGGAGGTAGGCCTACAGACCGGAAGACCGACCGACGATCTCCGTCACAGTCTTTAGGCAGATGAAATACAAGGGAGAAAGCGAGCGAGCGAGCGAGAGAGCGTAGAAAGCCGATGGTCTCTTCATTACCTTCCCTTCCCTGACCTTTCACCTCTTTACCATTTCTTCTCCATTTTTATATTAAAAATGGAATTGAAATACCCCCCCCCCCCCCTCCCCCACCCCCTCCCCCCTCCCCCGATTAGTTATGCCACCGAAAGTTTGCCCTGGTATTTGAATATGTTGGTATGATTGTAAATTTTGTATAAGTTATGAAATGCTTATGTATATGTATCACCTGGAAGGAAAGTTTCTTTATTCTTCGGAAGAAGACAGTAACATTATATTATATTCTATACTCTATTCTATTCTATCCTCTAGTGCTGTAGAAATACTTTTGGAATTGACACGATCATAATTACATATTTATATTTAATTCACATTTTTGTGTGGGTGTCATTGCATGCCTGTAACTATATGTACACTTACCATGGTTACGGGTCTCGTCGGCGTCGTTTCTTGATTTTCCCTATGCTGATTAGTTTTCGCCTTGAACAAGAACCGAGTCGGTTAACTTTACGGTTATCGAACTTTCTTTTCGTCCGTCACGTGATGGGGCAGATGTAAACCAATCAATTACACCAGCTTATTCTTACAAGTAGACTAGTCTACACTTCAGGGAACAAGTCTTAAATATTTAATCTATTGTTATATAGATTTATTTGACTTTCTACTATATCTACGATAGATAAATGCCAGGAATAAGATATATTGAGGGGGGAAAACATAGCCTAGAATTAAACTTGAATTGAAGAGGAGGTTGAACGGTCAACATGAAGTAATTCTACATGTCCAGTTGCAGTCTGGTTCCCTACGGTCATTGACATTGGTCAGTGGAATCAGTTGTCCATAAATGTCCAGTTTGACCGGGCCCCCATGGTGCCTTATCAACATCTATCTGCTCGTCATTCTTGCCTGTCTGTCTGGACACGTGCGCACCGTGGTGTTCATCATTGTAATCTTGGATGGGGGGGGGGGGGGGGTTGTGATAGCTACCTTGACGATATTTTGAAACAAATGCATTTGGATTTAATCCTTAATTCAAGAATGAATGACTGCATCATCGTCCCATCATCTTCCCAACAATCCTTATGTCGTCATCATCGTGATGCTATTTGTACGATTTTCCACGGCCAGATTGAAGGGGCACCACCGTCAACCCTCCCGCCCTCTGAAAAACCCGATCTGGAGTGTTATGATGGACCATGGATATGGATGGAGGAAGCATCTCGTCGCTGTTTTCACGAAGTGACGGTAGTGAAAAAAAATGTTTACTTACTAGGTCAATTAAAATCAACACGGCTGAACTTTCAAATCATTGTACTTAATCGACAGAGAGTAAAGTCTAGACAGGTCCTCATAAAGCTGAGTTCTGATTGGTCATTAGTCTCAATCACCGTAGGGGGCGTATGTCATTAGTCTCTTTTCACAATAAATGCGGAGGACATACTGTGTATGATCGAATCTCTTTGAATAAATGGGAAAGCCTGCCCCCAAGAGTCCAAGACCATTTGCTATCATTGGATTGCAAACTATTATGAAGTGCGATATCTCTTTCATCGAATCCTCTGCTTTTATGCTGAATTTTATCACATCTAAAGAGTGGGTAGATTAAAGTGAACCGATTTATGGAGTGCCAAGTGTCAACTTCCTCATCCAATATAACTTACCCTAGGCCTAAGACATGAAATCTCACTTCCATTCAATGACGGGGCTTATTTCGTTTCGTTATAAGTGCTTTATACAGAGTACAGAGCTTGTATTTTTAGCACTTCATAAATCGATGGAATGAGTTTAACTGTGTGAATAACAGCCTATGATGCTATATATAGCCTTCTATACGTTGAAATTATACGTTGAAACAATTAAAGAAAATACGAAACAATGTCTGAAAATTATAAACTGGTTACTAGAAATGATCCTTTTATCAAATATCAAGCTGGATGCAATTTCAAAACGATGAAAGTGAATAAAATTGGTAATGAATTAGAAAACAGTAACAAGAATTGGTATGAAAGAGCAACGCTGAAAAACGGACTTGTCAATAACTTGGCCTACTGGCCTATTATGATAGTTTCGGACTTTCCGACTTTCCATGAAAGTGGTCCTCGACCTGTTAGTAAACAATCCATACAGGCATCAAGGTTTAATGATGGCCAACACGTTTTGATCCGTTTTAATGCTGAGAATAGAAAGACTTACAAGGTGTAAACCTTGGATTTTATCACACATAGCATCTGTATTTGTAGTTTATAAGCTGTTTATCACTGGGAATAAATAAATATTAATCGTTCTGGTTTCATCTGATTCATTCGTGTCTATGAAACTTGTAAACCATGTAATTGACCTTGACCAGACACGGTATGAGTCTGAAGGTAACAGATAATTAACAAATACTTAACAGATAGATGGTCATGATAATAGTTGCTTTCATATAATTTTCTCCTATAAAATACATTTAAATTGTTTGGAAAATACTAATATACCTCCCGTTTAACATCCTTACTGAAGAAAATGTATGCAATTTAAAATATATATATTTTGTTGATGTATTGAACTTAATTGTTAGTATAATATAAGACCATATTCTTTCTACACAGTAGTCCCTACCTATTCTAGAATGCCTATACTACCCACGTAATACAGATAGTATTCGACTTTTGTAGCAAACCGTTGCAATGGAACCTTTAAGCTCCATCGTCTGGAATGAGCAATAAACTTGGTTGTTTTGTCGCCATGGTGACAGTAATAGAGATCCGGTACATCTAATCGTCTGCTACGTGACATGTTTCTACGAATTATTTATGAATCTTGTCCTTCTCTTCTCTATACTGATTTATCTGCCTGATCGAGTAGCAATCTCTTCCTCAGTGCGAACACACTTATAAGGCTTTAATCCCAAATGATGGTACTGATTGTCTCAGATGGTATTGAAAGGCCGACATTCGCATCACCCTTATATCACGCCCTCTATGTCTGACTCTCAGCATGTCCGACCCAGTTGAGGTGGTCACACAGGGTTTTATTTGTTCAATAAGGACAGGTTTAGGGTTGCAATGAGGTTTTACGTTATGTTTAGGGTTAGGATTAGGTTTTGGTTCTTAGGAATTCCGTTGGTGTAGTAAATAACCGCGGAACATTCGTTGCAGGAGCAAGTGTACGTCATACAACCTCTGTTACAATCTATGCTCGAACGTGGGTAAGTCACACCGACAAGGCCGACACTAGGCCGAAACAAATTACCTTACACCGAATTGTAATGTAGTTCGGTTTGGGTTGGTTTAATGGTGAGACTAAAATACTAGTGATAGTGCCATCATTTCATCGTGTATAATCATGTAATAGTATACAGTGTACCTTGCCGTGTATCATGTGTGCGTGTGCGCGTGTGCGTGTCTGTGTGATTACTTTAAGCCCTAAGCCACTTGATCACTTGAAAACTTGATATAGCTTGTCTTTCTTGCATAACATGTCTAACAAAAGTCTGAAGTTGGTAAAATCGTGATCTCCGTCTTCTTCTCTTTTCTTATACGGGGCCTGTTCTAGCTTCATAGAAGTACTGTGACCTTACAGCGATCAGTCTTTCCTGGGTTGGGGGGGGGGGGGGGCGGCATCGAACGGGGCGTCTCCAGTCTGATTCGCTATATCTCATATGAAAACACAAGCGGAAAGGAAACATGAGACTGAGCGAAATGTTGATAGTAGGGCAGTGAATTGGAACTCGTCATCTCGCACTCGCTCCTCTGTTATTCTTGTCATGTTTTCAGATCATTACACGTCTACACATTCAAAGCTGAGCTATATCAGTCCGAGGGCGAAACTAAATATTATATTTCGTTATGTTTGGTTTATGTTCCCATTTTCCATCCGTCATGTCGGAGTGATGTGGGTCGATTGGATGTTATCGTTTCGTTTTATAAAAAATGACAAGACTGGTATCTCCTGGCAATCTGGGGGGGGGGGGGGGGGGGTTGTGAAGAAGGTCTTAGTATACAAATAGTACACAGCAGTGAGGGCATTAGTAAGAGTTACCCACATAAGGTACCTTTGGAACAGTCTAACACGCCCGAGACGATAGCCATGTGTGTTTGGACTGTTTTGAAGGTACCGAGTGTGGGTAATTTTTTTTTTTACTGATGCCTGAACAAATTGATATGCATTATTTGTTTTATAAGATTATGTTTTATTTGTGTTATAAAATTATGTTTTATAACATCATTTTACTAATGGTCGGTCGTTAGCATTTGATAATGACCGGTCATTATCCAAATTACGTGTAATGCAAAATAAATGCCTGGTCACGTGTACGCTCTCAACCAATCATTTGGTTAGGATCCACGTCATCATCTTATAACATATTATATCGAATATCCAGCATAGGAAGAGGTGGTGTACCTTCCATCATCTTTTTTCTTTTTTTTATAATGAGAAAACCAAACTAATGGTATGTATGATGCAGAAGAAGATGCCTTCGAGCCCTTCGTAGGCCTACTCCTCTCCTCCAGGTTCTGATCCACAAGCCCAACCCCTCCTGGGAATCCGCCCCTTGTTTATCAATATCTGGATACGTCCCACGGAGTGACCAGTACACAATGAAAGAGATTATAATTTTAACAAGTTTGAATTATCTGCAATGGCTGAGATCCGTTGTGTGTACAATCATTCTCAAGTCAAGAGTGAGGTGCTATTTTAAGATGTCTGTTTAGTTTGGGTCTGATTACAGCGACTACGACTCATAGGATTTCAGATGACTGTCTGTCAGATCAGGGGCTCTTTTCCTGTTCACTTTATCATTTACAAGTGATGTGAATAGAATACACCGCCTTCAGTCAGTGTCTCATCAATACAGTACTGCACTCAATGAGTGAAATAGCTCACAGAAGTAAAACCCAAACCGCTCAAATGACTGTATATGCTACAGTATATTTCTAACATCACAAATAGCGGATTGAGAAGTAGAAAGACTCCTTGGAAACTTCCTCGAATTAAGACGAGTGAACGAACGGACTGTGACAGAAACCTCTGCGGTTAGTCAAGGCGGCAGGACACGCGATAAACCCGCTCACTAGTCACGCGACTGAGCTGCTCAGCTTCAAAGGGGGAATCATTACGAGCTAAGTAGTGGACGGTGGATGACTTGGATCTCGGTAGCCTGCGCTCTTGAATCAATCGGCGACATTTATGATAAACACTCTCTCAATCTGGACACTAATAATTCTGCCTTGTCTATTTATTCGGATTAAACTGGTGGACGTTTTGAAGAGGGTAAGTGATGAGTAGGTGATGAGTTGGCTGGATGCCTCTCTCTCTCTCTCTCTCTCTCTCTCTCTTAGTTGGATGCATCCCTGAGGTGTTGTTTAGATGGTCATTAAGCATCTGATAGGAACCAGCATGATTCCTTACCAGACTATTGGGTTTTGTTTTGTATTGCTTTGTTTGTGCGTTTGTCTGTTTGTTTGTTTGTTTGTTTATTTGTACTATCTATGGATGATTCGGAATGTACATAAACACCTATATACAAGAATATTTAGGATGACGTGATATTTGTTCTATGTGACGCGAATTTAGAATTAGTATACAATATAAAAGTGGGGGATGTTTCGTAGATTATGAGGATTCCCCGATTCTTCAATCAGCATTAGTGTAACGAGTTTTTTTTCAACGAAACAGTTAGTGTTGATCTGTGATTGTTCATACATTCATAATTATGATAAAGGTTTTCAAGGAGATGTATAGAAAAACAAATCAGGAATACGGTTAGGCCTAACTATTATTTCAACGCAGCGACCACCCCCCCCCCTTCCCACCCAAATCCTCGCCCCTGTCGTACATGACTTGTGTTGTCATTGAAGTACATACACGTAATATAGGAGAAAGAAGAGAGGAGAATCGAGAGTGATTCGAACTAAATGTATGCACACGTGTCTAATCAGCTCTCGGAAATATCACTTCCCCTTTACTCAGGGTCGTCTTGATGTAACTCATGAATAGTCTGATTCCCCTGCAAACTCCATGTGAAGGTTTCCTTTCCATCTCTCTTTAATAGCAATTTTCGGAGGCAGCTGATATAGAAAGATTTCAGGACGGGGGGGGGGGGGGCGGGACACAGAATCATGAGAATATTATCGTATGGTAGGCAGTGCTCCCGAGGGCTTGGGATACTAACTTGAACCTCATCTGAGCTGAGAACGTACTGATACTTAATCCTTAGCCCATGAATATAATACATTGTATATTCATGCTTAGACTGAAGGACATCTACTTGTATCTTCTGTAAAAGGAGCTATTATTAAATGTACTGTTTTTGCTGTTGTTCTTGTCGTTGAAAACACGAATGATACTCGTATTATCCTAGTATCTGTGAATTTTAATTACGTCCCGAAATTTTATTGCGACTTACTACTTTCTAGTTCATGTGTCTACTTTTCGGTTATCTGTTAATGTGGAGAAAACGTAGATATTTAACCGACACCTTGCAACGCCCGCAATCCTCTCAATGGGTTAGCTTCTAAAGAGGGGAAGACGGGATCGGGAGGGGCAGTGTTTTTCACCCCGTGCGCCCCCCCCCCCCAATCCTGTCAACAATGGTTTTTAACGGGGATGGACGGGCAATGTTTCACTATTTGTGAACGATACTTATTTCAGGGAGGGGAGGACGGGGCACAGAATTTCACCGCTTGTACCGCCCAAAGCCTGTCAACAACGGATGAGCCCTTATAAAGGTATTGAAGGGGAGGGGGGGGGGTCTGTATTTCACCCCTTATGCCGCTCTGAATCCTACCAGTGTCTCCTGAGATTACCCTGGTAAGAACGGAGGGTATTCAGACGATCATGTCACAAGTCTTCTGCAAACACCCTTCAGTCTCCTCGGTTCTAGTTTGACGTCATACCGTCTCTCCATCGAGGCTCGTCTTCACGTCCCAATGCGAATCTCAATGTGAAGGATTGTAAACACAAAGCTCTCTCACACAAGGCCAGTGCTCTTCTTGGGTACTAATTTGTAATACATGTACAACATTTTATAGAAGAGCTCGTAAGTGAGAATTTTCACCAATTCATGTTTATGTCTGCAATATTATTTACTCCAATTTCGCATATCGACTTCTTGTATACACATGAAATAAGTCGTGGAGAGTGTCCAGAAACTCACCAGAATGATACCAGAAACTCACCAGAATGATACGTCATTATATTATGCAGATTATTATGGTCGTTATTTCATTAAATAGCGGCTATCATAGCGGCTATTCATCGTTAGACAATCCATCTCTTTTTCTTAGTCGTTCTTTTATCTTGCCTATTGGCGTGAAAGGCTATAAATAGAGAAATAGATAACAGGGAAGGTGGAGCGCCGTTAACAGATGATGATACAACCAGTAGGTCCGTGATACAACACACTCTAAAATTAGTGACGTTATCCTACAGATATATAAGAACAAAGGAAGTCTGAGCTCGTATACTATGATATGTTTAAATTGTTGATTAATCTAATCTTATAGGGAAGAATGAAACAATATTCGTTGTCGGCATGATTTGAGTAACGGCTTTGATTTGTTGCAATTACATACTCGTTCTCTTTTTACCTCGGATGCAGAACATCATGTTCGAATTCTCGAAAGAAGAGCCCCCCCCCCCCTCCCCCACAGACACACACACATTTACGCCGATGTTTCAATACGAACAAGAAGAGAATCATTAACTCGCTGATGCCCTCTTTGTATATGTTACATCTATCCTCATCTGATTCGGATAAATAAATCTCTTCGCTTTTGTAAGCTGTCCACAACTGACATGCGAAATAGATGTGCTGGAGTAATGGACATTAATGACTCTTTCTTTCGATTGCGGTCAGCATATTTTCCTCGGTGAAACCCTTCCTATATTAAATGTGACTTCGTGACTAAACATTTATCATATAACAATGTCACAGGCTTCTTTTGTCAAGGCTGTTTAACACATTCAATATAATATAACCACTCTGCTTTTCGATATTTCATTATTTAGACTTTATAGGTCATGGCGGCATAAAATTGAAAAAATTATCTGATCTTCCTGTAATTTTTTAATTGTTCATCAGATATCTTTCAACTGTTACGTAAGTACCTTGCCTGGCTTTATTCGGGTTTCCTTATTCTTATGTTCAGCCTATTTTCGGCTGCTAAGATCTCGTGTATTCTCGAGCTTCGCTGGAATGCTCTATTCAGAGCCATTATCAAAATGGCTCTGTTCTTCCTAGAGGTCCAGAAATAATTAAACATAGAAATAAAACACAAAATATTACGAAAATATAACATTACAAACGCACTATCTACAACCCCCTCCCAGACCCTCTATAACACATTATGAATACGACGCTTACCATCCCTTCCCCCTCCCCGTTTACACCAAAAGTTTATACGTTGGCATTGTCGGATAGTAGTAATATATATATGGCCATCTATGACAGTAAATATGATTCCCATTACTTGTCATTCTCGCATTGTAAGATCTGAAATATATTTAAGATATGCGGAGGGGGTGACCATTGTCCAGTGCGTACATACGGGCATTTAGATGAAATATGAAATATTGACCTGAGGGGATCTACATTCCACTGCTATATCCATCGCGATGCTAGTCTATGAACCACAAACTCGCATCAATTGTTCTATTGCTTTGATTTGTCATGGTCCCGGACTTGAACTTCATGATTTTTCTTATCCATGCCGGAGCTAAAGCCGGGTTAATAATATTGAAAAGCCTTTGGAACCGCACATAAACGTTATATCACAATGTGATATGCGCTATACATTATTATATTTTTTCCTTCTTCAGTTCAAACGGTAATAATACACAACACAAGTATAATATTAAGAGAAGGCATTATAGACTGGTCTTCTAACTAATAGGCCCCGTATAACCTAGCTGATACAGCCATTAGTTATTACGAAGCTGGGATATAGGCTTCACTCAAGACACAATACATTTCTTACAAGTGTTAAATCAAGGTCTGTTCACAGAGACTAATCTGACAGTTACCTCGTCAATTTTCTGACATGCCAGGGAACCAATTCATTTACAAATTTCATCCAAATTTACTTCTCTCCGGGAAGGGGTCACTTGATATCGAACGTCCTTTTGACCAGTTTTGACCAAGCAGCTGTCCGGAGAGGCTCAATTTGACGCGGTGTTAGTAGGCAGGTGTGAATATTACAGCGACTAACAACACAAATCGTGTTTTAGGATAAGTATATTTAGAACTGTGTATCCTTAAAGGTCGTATTGACATGATTGCATATTGGACATGCTCGTGAAACCTCGACTGATCAGGCCTTATAGGTATTAATATGTCTTGGCATGTACGTAAAGACCTTTGAAAATTAAATTGATCAAATGAGGGATTTTTTTCTTCAATAAGAATTTAATAAAGAATAATGACAAGAACTATATTTTTACAATTGTGTTAACGTGTTTTAAAGATATCTCTTTAAAAAGCCCCCCCCCCCGAAATAAATCGCGCCCTTACCGAAATCAAACACAGATATTTTCTTTGTTTTTATAAAAGACATGCACTCGTGCGCTTGTCACCCCAACAATACATCAATCATGCTTTTCCATAAAGGAATAAACTTACCCCAACAACACCAACAAGTAAATATTTCGTCAGCACTTTTTCTTTCCAGACACATGCCGCGATTTCGATCTAAAAATATGAATAGTTTCCTGTTATGAGTGAGCGTAAGGTCAAGGTCCTTTAGCCGCTCTTACATCTCTCTTACTAGTTAGTAACATTAACCCACTCCATCTCAAACACGAGAAATTGATAGTGACATTATAATAACATATTACATTTATAAAGCGCCTTTTCATTAGATACAGAGCGCATTATTTCTCTCATTGTTTGTGACATTGAGTAACGAAATAATTATGGTGTACATCTTCTTTTTTTTTGTAATAATAGTGTGACTTATTTACAGGTTTCCATATTATTATTATTTTTTTTTTACTTGAGAGCATTTATCCTGAGTGTTTTGAGAATTAGTAACTTACATCTACAGTTTGCTACATTTTTAAAAGATAAGTGTATTACTTTAAAAAATATACATAATTACGGCTTGTTCTTTCTACACTAACCGCGTATCTTAGCACTAATGCACCACTAATAGAGAGAATGTTTTAACCATCAATGCCTTTGTTTACAATATAAAATGAGACGAATATAGAACAAGGTTTAGAGATGGAGAGATACACATTTATTGGTGTCCAAAATATGTGAGTTGTACATG